CGGGCCGAACATGAGCGTGGGCACGCCCTATTCGGAGTGGTGTGCGCCGCACCGTCGGGTCTTTTCTGCCGACCTTACGCCTTTTCTTGCCGGAAGTCGGACAAAGGGATAACACCGATTGGCTGTTCAGCTAGCGAATCAGTGCATGAGAAGCGTTGACGGAAGTGAGGGAGGTAAACAAATTATTTAAAATGGAAGATGGAACACACACGGACGGCTATTTCACCTCATCGGTTTATAGAGCTCCTGTTCGTTCATGTTTTCAATGGACGAGAGTGAAAATGGAAAGAAAAACGCTATTTGTTGTTATATCACGGAGTCTGTTCTTCTTCTCTGTCTTTCGGTTGTTGCCTCTTTTGAATGATGAATACACACTACCGCCGCCTGCTGGTAAGGAGAGTTATTGCCACTCACGCATACGCAGTTCATAGAGGCTCGGCTCGGATTTGCGGTGTGTTCCAGTGCGCGAAGTCGGCAAATACGCAGGAGAGTCCGGCGACGCAACAGTCGGTGTTGGCGACTTCTCAGGTGACTGGCCGGTGTATCTGGGCCTTTACACTCAACCAGATTGTCCACAAGGAACCCTTTGTCGACCATTATCGCCATGTCTGGTGTGAGCAGGCTCACGATGCCAGACAGCTTGAAGATCTCCCGGTCACTCATAGATCCTGCAGACAGGCCAGACACAAATGTAATGGCACCATGTGGTGCCATGCCGATCATGGCCTTGAATGTAGCATGCGACTTGTATGCAGAAAACACCTCACTCTGCAGCAGGAGAGATGATGGAGTCTGGCAGAATACTTGAGTGCAGTCAAGCACCACTTGTGTGTCAGGGAAAGCTGAAAACTCTGGTGGAAGGTGAGCTTTGACAACTTCGCGTGGGATCCACAGACGTTTGCTTCCAAGCAGTTGGTAGAGGAAGTGTGTCCAGGTGGAAATAGTTCTGCTGACTGTGGTGCGGTGAATGCCAAACCGTTCTGCTAGATCCCTCAGATGTAGGCCCACTGACAGGTGCATGAGGAACAGCAGCAGCTCATCTATGGGTGGAAGTTTCTGTGAAAACAAATAAGTGTTAGGCATAGTGTAGATACTGTTATAGGGGAGAACGGGTACAGTTGTAAGTTAACACATTTTCCTGGGGATTGTTGTTCTGTGTGTGTGTGTGTGTGTGTGTGTGTGTGTGTGTGTGTGTGTGTGTGTGTGTGTGTGTGTGTGTGTGTGTGTGTGTGTGTGTGTGTGTGTGTGTGTGTGTGTGTACGGTGGTATAGTTCGCAGCGTGCATAATTATTAATATACATCCATGCTTGTATGCTGCTTACCGTTGTTGATGGTTGAGAGGAATTCGGGCTGCTGGCAGAGGATGCCTTGGCGAAACATTACGTCTTGGTGTAGGTAGCTCGTAGTTATTCCAAGCAAAGAGAACAGGTGTAGCTCCTTTCTTTACTCTGTTCAGTCCTCCAGCTGTGACCAATAAGTCTCCTGGTCGAAAGTGCCTACTACACACACGGGTATTTGTTGTGGGGCTGAAATTGTCCCTACGGACCTCGATCAGCCACTGAGCCTTTACCTCAGCATCAATAGGAAATGAATGGAAACTTATCTCCCGATTATAACGGGACTTATTTGTACAAAGGGGCACACAGCAATGTAGTGCCGACTTTCTTACCCGCTGGAAGGCCAATCGCTTTTCTTTACCGTTCATCATCTATGCTATCTATCGCTATCTGTATGCTAACTGTATGCTATGTATCTTGCTATCTATCTATCTATCTATATATCTATCTATATTTATATATATCTCTCTATCTATCTATCTATTATTAAAGTCAACAAGGGAGTGGGGGGGGGGAGAGAAACTCCCTCTGGAGGGAACTTAGGGATTGTTGCCTTTGCAGACCATTGACATGCACAAAAACCTATACAACACACTACAGGAAAGGGAAAAACCTAAAAAAATAAATAAAAAAAGCATAATAGAGCCTCTTCCAGATATTTCCAGCCTTGGATGAAAAGTTTCTAAATAATTTCTGCAGCTCTTTTTCACATTATTTTATTTCACATTTCCCTCCAAACTGTCCACAGTTTACTTTTGAAGCAAATGATTGAGTGAACATTCTTGTTGTAGGTTAAGTGCCCTCTAGTGGACAGAGGGTTATTAGAGAAACATGGGGATCTTTTAGGTTCTTTGCGAGTGGTTGAGGTTTCATCACAGTAGAATAATTACTCAGGTGTTTTGCTTAAGTAAGTTCAGCATTTTTTAATGAAAACAAATAAAACAAATGTACAGCAATAAGATGATAAGAAGAAAAATGATTCTCAACCTGACACGTTTTCATTTGCATATTTGCATCATAATCATCATAAAAAAAACAAGGTCGGACGAATAAATACTGTACAGAATGAAATGAAAGAGGATGATTACATGTTGCTGTTCTGAACATAAACGATATGTCTTTCTTTCTTTTCTTTTTGAAATATCTGAACTATTTATTGTTTTAAAACTTGATTAAAGCTACCCTGTTTCCATGTATGAAATATTTGAATGGTGCATTATTCAATCTAAACTCAGAAAGGGCGATGATAGGTGAGTCAGAGAACTGAATCTATGTGCAACCACAATTATAACTTTGATTTTCAAAAAACAGATTTAATCATTTTTAAATATATTTAATGAAAGATAAGAGCCCTGTGTGTGGCAGTTTAACCCCTCTTTTAAAAACACTTAATTTACTCAATGTGCGCATGTCCTATGGGAAACATACACGCTTTTATTTTGGAAGCAAAGTGATTCAATTTGATGAAGCGCGGAGAGAATACACACATTCACACACACTCACAATCTCAGTTTTCAAGACATTTTCTACAACCTGAAATAACACTTCAGTGCATTCAGTTTTGTTTCATTCCAGAATCGTAACTTGACCCCAGTGAAGACTCTCAGGCCTCAGTGTTGCTGATAAGGAAGCAAATAGAAAAGCAGCAGCTGATCTTTACATTATTGCATCATGAAGACATCATTTGACAAAGGAGGAAGAAGTTCAGTTAAAGAGTTTAGAGCTTTGTTTTAGTGAGTTGACCACCTTCATCAACATTTGAGTAGTTGCATGGTGAGGAGATGAGATAGTTACCACACCATGAGACCAAAATACTGCATAGATAAACACACACAAACATACTGTCCTTTAAACAGATTTTTGTTCATTATTGGAAGACCGAGATGCTTCAAGTGCTTCAGGAGGAGGCAGGAAGACGGACAGGAAAATATCGACCATTTGAATCTATAGAAAATAACCTCCAGTGTTATCGCTCTCATTTTACATAAAAATGGTGCTTGTTATGTTATTTCTGACTTATTTCTGCTCCATGGGGTTCATTTGCACTGTAAATGTTTTGATTATTGCTTGGAAAATACTAGTTAACTTTTGCACTTCATCCGTAAATGGTGCTTACATTAGACATCTAATTAGCCATTTGACAAATAAATAAATGTAAGCTTTAAAAAGTTATTTGAAATGCATCGTACTTATTAAATGTGTTTTCATTATTTTTTGTTTTTTCACCCCCACCTTGAATATAAGGACGATCGATCAGGACCTATTTGCATCCTTTTAATATCCTTTAGTTGAGCTCATAGCCAATGATAGAAGAGCGTTCAGACACTTGTCGTGTGGAGTGTATCCTGAGGGTGGCACTAGAGTAAAAATAATGAGGCTGAGTCTTTCATTCATGTAAGGTTTCTAAAATAATTGGACGGACAGATAAGACAATGGTTCCCAACCAAACACTATGTCCTCCAGTTAGAGACACATTTGCAAGGTCAGCTGTCTAGGTAAATAGCCAAGCATTTTCTCACCAAGGGCTAATAGGTTTGGGACTGAGGAGGTCAGAAAGTATTGCTCGACAAACACATTTGTGTCTATGTGTCGTATTGTTGACAATAAAATAAATAAAGAATATTGCCAGCCTTATCTTTATCCTTCTTCCCAGTTTGTTTGCTCGAGATTATGTATGTTAGGAACAGGTCAAAACTTAGTGCAGGACAACATTCGTGGCATCGTAATCCAGTGTTGATATGATATAAAGACATCAGCAGTAGCATTTGTTCATGACGGAGGACGTCTGACATCAGGTGTGTGCTGGTTCGCTCCTCCAGCAGGAGTTTTTAGATTCTGCTCGTCCATTATGGTTCTTCACAAATCCTGGTTAACCGCAGATACATGAGAACAACAGACTCCATCTTCTTTAATAGGGGCTCTTTTTTGGTAAAATGTCAAAGAAAGAATTTTTTTTAGTAAGCATTCATAAGTTGAGTGTTTATTTTGTTGAGAGAGGTATTGCTTTTCTTGAAATGTCAGAGTACATTTCTTTTAGTCTCTGTTCGGTTCTGGTTTATAAAATCCTCGGTTGCTGTCGGGTCAGTTGTTAAGTTTCGTCCCGAGAACATCCAGAAGACGGAGGAGGTTCAGTCTCACTTCGAAGCCAGGTGAGCAGGTTGCAGGTTTGAATCCCTGCAGCCACGATGGCAGAGCTTATGTCTCTTTTGGACTATCTGTCACTCCCACAAACTGGACGTCAAAGGTCACAGGTTTGATTCCCGTTCCCCGACGCCGAGCTCAGTAGGGTGCAAAGAGGATCGATCCTTGGCTCGCTCTCATTGGTCCAGGAGCCGGACGCAGGAAGGAGGTGGTGAAGATAGACGAGGAGCAGGGAGGGCGAGGATGAAGAGACATGGTGGGGCTGAGGGGTGTGGAGTTGGCAGTGAAGAGGGGGGAGGAGAGAGAGGAGGGAGAGAGGGAGATGGTTGTGGTGAGGGAGCAGGGAGGAGGAGCAAAGGGAGTGGAGAGGAAGGACGGAGAGATGGAGGGATTCAACAACTCGCCCTGAGGAGGAGAGGAGAAGACAAAAAAGACAGGAGACAAGGAGAAAACAGTGTGAGGACAGGAGTTTGGGAAAGGCGAGTAGAAAAAAGGAGGTAAAAGTAGGTTAAACAAGTACATATTTAAAAAAGCAAATAGATGAATTGATTAATAATTAAGGATTCAAAAATGTATTCTGAAATGATTTACTACAGTCCCCAAATATTGATGCATAACAGCATTTATACTTGATGAGTTTGTTGATCTGCACGATATTGTACACATAGTTCATGCCAATAAAGCAATTTGTATTAAATTTGAGAGAGAGAGAGAGAGCGGGAGAGAGACACTTACAGAGAGTGGGCTGCGCTGCTGTTTGTTGTAAGGGCTGTATTTGGGTTTGCTGGGTTTTCCAGCCACTCTGTCCTTGTGCCTCCTGCTGGAGATGTGCTGCAACAACAACAACAACAACAACAACAAAGTTATTATATTACTCTGTTCTTTCCACCATAACTTTAATATCACACTGTTAAACTGTGGCAGTGCCTGAAACCACATACTTTTAGTTTGTAGTTTTAATTAATTTTTTTATCTCCAAATTCCAATACGTAAAGTCTCCCAAAAATGTGAACTCAGATATTTCACAATTAATGCCTTTTGCTTCCAAAATGTTGAGTTGTTTAAAACAGTAAATCATTTTCTAGCTACATAATGGAGATACAAAAGCTATTAGAAACAAAAACATGAATAGAAAGGTGCCTTTCAAATTGATATTTCAATGTTACTGCTCGTTGGGTACAACAAGCTGCTTTGTGGCCTTGTTCAGAAGGAACAAAGCCAGATCTGTAGATCTGAACAAGATAAGTCACAGATTGGGCTCTGTGTGACACTAGAATAAAGCTCCCTGGGTTTCTACCTGTTTGAGCTGGATCTCAGAGTTGACATGAACGTCACAGATCTGGCAGTGGAAGGTTTTGTTCTGCAGGCCGGAGCCCTTCAGCACGGAGCTGCTGCCGTTCTTCAGCTTGGCCCCGGCTCGAGGGTACGCCTTGATCGGCCCGGCGCCGCTCCGAGCCTCCATCATCGTCTTGTGCTTTGAACCTGCAGATAGAAACAATCAAAAACTAAACTTCCATACAAAACAACACAAAATCACAAAGCCTTAAAGTGGGGTAGGTAAGTTTGAGAAACCGGCTCGAGATACACTTTTTGTTATATTCCATGGAATGCTCTTAACATCCCGATAGCAATGAATATCTGAAGTGCTTTGACAAAAAATCCATTAAAAAATGTAATCTGTGGAAGCCGTGGTGTTGTAAAAAGCACGATCAATCATTTTAGCCGGCCCGGCTAAAATAACTGGATGGCCTACCTGCCTGTCAGCCTTCCATCTGTGCACAAACTTATCTCGTGCCCTCATTGGTCATGTGCGTGTTCATGTGTGTTGGAGGAGGGGCTCTGTGAGGAAGTCTGAAGGAAGTGGCAGATTTTCTCCGGTTGTGTATTTTCAAATTCTAGCGCACTCGAGCTGGTTTCTCCAAAATGTCCTACCCCACCTTTAATGCTAAACTTTTTGTTGTTGTTTAAAGATAGATTTACTTCCATCAAGCCCATTTCTTTCAGTTCATTTCTTTCTTAATCAACCTGCAGAGACTTCCAACTTGCTGAAATCATGAAAGTATAGGAATCATCATCACGTGGTAACATGAGTGTTGAAAGCGCTGCCTGTTGATGCATTCAAGGACACTTACAAATGTGAGAGTTGGCTGCTTATCAGAGAACACACATACAACATCTATCTGTTGCAAAAAGTTTGTACATGTAGCTAAGGTGACACAGTTGCTAGGTCTATAACAACAACAACAACAACAACAACAACAACAACAACAAACTTAGCAGATCAATCATCAGGTATATGAAGCATGTCATTGAAAAGTTGCTCAAGCTTCAACTGAAGACATGAAAAACGGCTGCAGCTGAAACCACATCCATACTTCATCTATTCCCCCTCACCTGCATTGTGAGCCTCCAGCTGAGAGAGAGAGTTGACGGCGACTTTACACAAAGAGCAGTACATCAGCTTCTTCGCCTTCTCATCCTCTGTCTCTGCCGAGGAAGGAGCATCCTGGGAAGAGGCCAGGGAGGGAGGAGGAGGAGTAGCAGGGGATGACGAGGAGGTGACAGGAGCTGGAGGAGGGAGAGGCGGAGAGGCTTTGGAAGAAGGGAAAGAGGGTGAGGAAGAGGAGGAGAAGAGGCCCGGGGCAGGGAGAGCGGTGGGAGGACTGGAGGGAGGAGGCTCACTGCCTGGTCTGCTGGAGGAGGGGGAGGTGGAGGAGGGAGGGGAGAAGGAGGGGAGGACGAAGGGATTGAGAGTAAAGGAGTCTGTGAGGCCAGATAAGAGATCTGGACAAAGGATGGGTAAAAGGAAGAAGAAGAGGAGTAATAAATTAAAAAACTCATTAAAATCAATTCTCAAAATGAAAATCAGTAACATTAATAGTTCAAATGAACCTGTGTGCTGATTGGTGATGCTGTTTGCTGAGACAGGAGGGGCGGGGCAAACGGGACTCGTTCTGCTCCCATTGGTCTCTCCGGTGATTGACAGCTTGGCCTTGGTCTTGTTCTCCTGAGACTTGAGCTTCTTGGCGTGACGACTGCCCCTGAAATGAGCCTCTGCCTGAGACTGAAGCAAGAGACACACGGAGAGATTTTACTTTCTGTTTGGGCTAAAGTCCTGATGTGACTTCCTGTTCAGCCCCTCGTCCACTAGCTTTAGAGTCTCTACAGACTCTAAATGACAGTTTCTGTCATCAGTTTTCTCATAGATTTCTATTCAATTAGACTTGCAACAAGTTGAGTTACTGAATATTAGAGAGAATGTAGGTTTTAGGCACTTCTACATATGTTTCACTTTTCCCGGAGTTTGCCTTCAGCTTAAACCTAAAAAGAGAACTGGCAGAAATCCCTGTGTGTTAACTTATCTTTTGTGAGGTAAACTGAGGTTTATTCCCTTGGTTGCAATCTTCAACTTTGCCGCTTCATCTTAACTACAGAACCAGATTAGAATTGAATTAGTTCTGGAAGTAGGTCCTGCGCCAAAGTAATGAACAAATAACAATGTTCACTTGGTTGCAATAACCTGTGTGCATTATCTTGTTTTTCATTATCCAGATAAGGTATCCAAATGGAAGGTAGAGATGTTGTCTTTGTTCCACAGGGAAACAAACCTCCAGGTTAACAGTGTCCTCATGTGACTGTCTGCATTCTCAATGACTCAGCTTTTATTCAATGTACTAGACTGAGCCCTTGCTTCCCTTTCAATCCTCTCCTCCCTACGGAAGTGATTCCTGTTCTCATGTCCACTCATGAATAATTTGAACAGCTCATAAATATTTCATGTTCGACTGGCATGTCACTAACGATGCGGCTTGTTAGCTTTCAGCAATCATTACTTGAAGGAGAGTGTGTCATTCACACAGCGCTGCAATAACAAAGAGGGTAGGGGTCGCACCTGTTGATACACACTGGCTCTTCTGACAGGAATAGCCATTATACAAAATACAAACAAGCTTCACAAAGTATACGTCTCGGCTCTATCATAACCAAACATTTTCCTTAGAAGTTTCCTACAGACAAAATGTTTTGACAGAAAATATTTTTCAAGAAACACTTCAACTTCAGTCAGATGAATCTCTGTGCATCTGAAAGCATGTAGGTCCAGGATGAATTTAGTCCTGGACCTACATGAATTCTAGCTCGAGCTTAAGGGATAATAGTGAGAAATTATACTGCACATCTTTGCCATTCTCAACATTAGTGTCACCTAACAAGTTATATAAAATCATCTTACTATCGGTCTTATGATGAGTAGATGGATATCATAATCTATAAGTGAATAGAGATAGTTCCAGGTGGTTTAGTTTAGCATAGCACAAAGACTAATAGCAGTGGGGAACTGCTAGCCTAGCTCCAAATAAACCCTACCCTCAACAACTACAGCTACATTGCTATATCTTGTTTAATGAGCAGGTGTAGACATTGATAAGTCAAAAGGAGATTAGCAGGAATAAGCGTTCAAGCTATTTGTTGACCAATCCCTGGAGACAGTTACTAGGATGCTACATGTCTAAACTCCTGTCCACATTGTGGAGCGGTCAGATCGTAAAGACAACATTTACAATAAATGAAGACCACATTGATTTATTCTTAGTATGCATTTCATTTCCATCAGTTTTCATGGACCTAGGCTAGCACTTTCCTCCTGCCTTGGTCTAGGTTTTAGTTCTAAGCTAGGCTAAACATATACTCAATGGAGAAACAATAGGTGATGAAACTGGTATCATTCTTCTCCTCTGACTCTGGGGAAGACAGCGCAAAGGATTTCAGGAAATGTTGATAGCAACATGACCACAGAGATGACTCATATGACTGGACGATGATCACAGAGACATAATCAAACTGACTGGAAGAGTGTGAAGAGACAGATTTAGATGCCAAACCTACGTGGAAACACAAACATAAAAACTTACGTCAGAGTTGAACCTCAGCTGGCACACGGTGCATGAGATGACCTGTTTCTTCTTGGGTACCAACGTAACGCCAAAAGTGTGGTTGATGACGGCCTTCTGAACCGGGTCCATCTGCAGGAGGCGAACAGAGGTCAGAGGTCAAGAGCCTGCTTAGGTTGGGATGATGCCAGAGTGATGCTGACAGATCTCTTTATCACAGTCAGCCTGTACGGCCTGCAGCTGCGACACACTGTCACTTTTACTGTCCCTCACACACACACACACACGTTCACACAGTCATACCGTGTTGAAGTTTGGGAACAGTCCGACTGGCGAAGCCGTCTCGACAGGAAACGACAGGAATGGTTTCATCATCATGGAGGAACCAGTGGCGCCGATCAACCCTGGCAACGTACCGCCCACTGCACCACACACACTCCCTGCATAAAAGAGAGAAACAGGGTTTGAATAATGGGTTTTAGATCACTGATGGCACTGTTATTGATGACTTTGAGAGCTCTTCAGTTCTTGGAGCTTATTGGCGACTTGTTTAAAATTAAACAGAGAGGATGATGTATTTAGAAAAATGGCTAGACACATGACAACACCCAACACCTTCAGGAAACCAAGTTTTAAATATAAAATGTCTACAGATTGATCCACTTTGCTTGCGTCATTTTCTTTATGGATGGAAGATGTATAATAGTGCTTCTTGTCAAACTGGAGACAGCTGTGACATCATTCAAATACCTTTGAGGAAACAAACCACTGCTGTAGGAGTCATTATAAAATACAGTTTTTACTATTTCTCTTTGGTTTGAGTGGAAGAGAACAGATGGGATTTGATTTTAAAAAAGCTGATTTTCAGATAAACTGTTAAAACGGTAACCATTTGTTTTAACATGGGAATGCCAGTGAACGTATCTTCAGCTGGCCAGTTAGCTGAGTGATACTGACATTTCTTGGCAAAGCCTGAGAAAAGCAAATAGAGGAAATCCATCTCTCTCTGATATTCGTGTCATTTCAACCTGGAGACCTGAGAAGCTGATGCTGATGCTTTTCAGTAACAACATGAGGAACATATGGCGCTGCAGCAGCTGGAGTCAGAGAGTGGTAATAATGCGGAGATCGAGAGTAAGAACGTGAATGAGTGGCTCACATAATGAGCCCATGTGTCCAGTCACTACAGGGCCAGTAAGAGTCCTTCATCTCCATTTAAAGAAGCAGAGAGGTACATTTACTCCCCAGTGACCAAATTAAGGGTTATACACACAGCACACAATAAAAACAACAAGACTATTGCAAAACAAATGACTGTTATTCATATCTCAAGTACATTTAAGAGTCACTCAGTGTTATGGAGCGCCTTTCGGGGAAAAGTATGGTTCTATAGTGTAAATCCAAATGTTGGTGTGAGCAGTGGTTACATATACATACACAGTGATCACAGGAGAGTTGTTCTAAAGAAACATACATGTATTACTTCTATCTCTCTAAGTAGATTATAGTCACAGCTTGTAGAAGCCCTGCAGTAAATTCCTTGATAACAACAGTGTGGGTGGAAACAGAGAGCGACTAAATCAGCCCTGACAGGGGAGGAAGAGGAGGAGGAGGAGGAGGAGGAGGAGAAGTTTTTGTCTCATTGATTTGTAGCATCAGTCCAACCTGACAACATTTTCAATACACTATAAACCCCTCTTAAAAAACCTTCCCCAAAAACCCCTTTTCCTCCCCCCTTGGGTTCCCTTGCACCCTCGGGGAAAGGAAAAAAACCGGTTAAAGACCCCTAAACCTTCGAAAAAAACCCGGTTCCCTTTCCTAGCCCTAAAAAAAAAAACCCCCCCCCCCCCCCGTTTTGGGTACCCGTTCCATTCTTTTGGTTTTTCCGGTTCCCCCCCTCACCTTTCAACGGGTCCATTTCCCCAAGGAATCCCAGCCAAAAAAACTTCTTTAAAATCCTGCCCCCTTTCCCTCCCCCCGGAACCCTTGGGAGTTCCCCCTTTTTTTTTGGACACCGCCAGCAAAAAAAGAAAACCCAAAGGGGTCCCCTCTACCCCCCTTGCATTAAAAAAGGGAAAAAAGGAAAAAAACCCTACAAAAAAAATTTTTCCCGCCACCCCATAAAAGGACCGTCCCGGTCCCCCGGCCCACAAAACAAATTTCGGTCGCCTAAAAACCAAAAGTCCAACCCCCCCCTTTTCACCTTTGTTCCCAAAAAAAATAGTAATCCCCCCCAAGGGTGGTTTGGTGTCCCTTAAAAAAAAAAGGAAAAACGTCCCAAAGGAACCTCCAAAGCCCCCCCTCCCCTTTTTTTTTTTTTGTCAATTTCTTGTTCCCCCCAATAAAAAAACGGCTTAAAACCCCAACCTAAAACGGTCCCCCAAGTCCTCTCCCACCCCCCCTGTTTTTAGGAAAAAGGGCCCTTTTTTTTTTTTCCCCCCCCCCCCCCCCTTTTTTTTTCGGTTCCCCCCAAAAAAAAAAGTCCCAAAACAAGGTTTTTCCAACCTCGAAAAAAAAAAAAACTCCCACCACTTTTCGGGTTTTCCTTTGTAAGGGTGACTTCTTCTTCCTACAGTTTTTTTTCCGATTTCCCTTGGTTTTTCCGTTTTTCCCCTTCCCTACCGGCAAAAAAAACGGTTTGCCTTGGAAAACCCCCCCCCAGAGACTTTCCCCGCCCCCCCCACCCCCTTTTTTTTTTTCCCCCCCCCCCCTGTTTCCCCCTTTAAATTTAAAACCCAACCCAAGCAGGGTTCCACCCGCCCATCGTCCAAAAAAACCTATACCTTTTTTTTTTTTGATTGGGGTACAACGCCCCGAATTTTTAACCCCCCCCCCCCCCTGTCCTAAGGCTCCCCGCCCTTTCAAAAACCACAATAAATGTTTCCCCTTCTTTCCCCCCCCTTTTTTCCCCCTCCCCCTTGGGTTTTCCCCCCCTTTTTTTTGGTCTTCCCCGGGAACCTCCCCCCCCCCCCCTGGGGGAAAAAACAATCCAAATTTTTTTTAAACCCCCCCCTTGTTTTTTTTCCCTCCAAATGCCCCCCTTTGAAGCCCCCCCCTCCCCCCCTTTGGAGGAAGGGGTTTTTTTTTATCAAAAAATTTTTTGGGGAACAAATTTCCCACGGCCCCCAAAAGAAAAACAACTCCATAAAACCCTTCAACCATCCCCTTTTCCCCCCCCTTTTTTCCAAAAAAAAGAACCGTCCCACGGACACCTTTTTTTTTTTTTTTTTTTTTTTTTTTTTGGAAAGGTTGTTTCCAAAAGAAACCCCCTTTTCTCAACGGCCTTTCCCCCTCCCCCTTTTAGATCCCTAACCAAAGGGTCGGGGGGCACAGCCCTTACCGCCGTCCCCCTGTTCCCTGTCCCCAGTGTTTTTTTTTTCCCCCGCCCCTAACCTACCCCCACCCCCTGGTCTCCCCCCTTCCCTTTTTTTCCCCCCCCCTCCCCCTCGAAAACCGGAAGAATCCGGGTTCACCACCCCGTTTTTCCAAGGGAGGGTTCTCCTGTCCCCCGGTCTCCCCTTCCCCCCCGTTTCCCCCCACAAAGACCAAAAAAAAACCCTCAACCTTTGGAAAAAAACCGGAACGCCCCTTTTTCGGTTCCCCCCCCTCCCCCTTTGGAACCCAAATAAAAACCCGGCCTTTTGAAAGGGTTTTCCCCCCTTTTCCAACAAGAAGCTTACCTTCCCTATTTTGTTTTTTGTTCCCCTCTCAAACAAATTTTTTTCCTGTTCCGCACAAAGGTTTTCCACCAAATAATCCCCCCCCCCCCTTGTTCCCCCCCCCTTTTGCCCCCCCTCCTCTCCTCTGTCCCCGGAACATCCCCAAAATATTTTTTTTTTGGTAGTTTTTCCTGCCCCAAAAAAAAAACTTCCTTCCACCCCAAAAAGAAATTTCCCTTTTCCCCCCCCCCCTTTCCCCCCCCAAAAAAAAAATGGAGAAACGGAGGAACTCCTGACAAACCCCCTTTTTTCCACCCCTTTCCCCCGTTTTCTTTCAATTTTTTCCTCCGCCTTCCCCCACAAACCTTTTAAACTTTTTAACCCCAAAACTTCCTTTTTTTTTTTTTTGACATTTCCCCCCTTTTATAAAGGTCCCTTTTTTTTCGCTATCCCCCCCCCCCACCCAAGGAAAGAAAAAAAACTTTTCCCGCAAAAACCCCCTCCCCCCCTAAATTCCCCCCCAGGGGTCCCCCCTTCCCCTTTGGTTTTTTTTCCAAAACCTCATCCCCCCCCTTTTTTTTTTTTTTGGGCCCCCCGTCTTCCAATTTTGGAAAATTTTTTTTTCTTTTTTGCTAAATAAACATTTTTTTTTTTTTTTTCCCCCCTTAAAAAAGGTTTACACCCGTTTCCTGTAAAAGCGGGTTTTTTCATTTTTTTTTTGAATCGTTTTTTTTTTATTTTTTTTTGGGTGTAAAATAAAAAAAAAACCAAAACATTCCATCTTAAGAGAAATTTTTTTTTTAACAAAAAAAACCCCCCCCTTTTGGATAAAAAATTGAACCAATTTTTTTTTTGAAAAAGGTGATAAAAAAAAAAAAATTGGGTTTAAAAATAACCCTTTTTCCCAAAAACCCTCCCGAGTATAAAAAAAACCCGTCCCCAGGCTGGTTTATTTTTTTTCTAAAACAGGCCAAAAATATGCGTTTGGGGTTAAGGGAAACATTTTTAAAAAAATTTCCCTCCCCTGGGGGTTGTTAAATTAGACATTAAAAAATGGGTTTTGAGTAATTTTTATTGTTTTAAGAAAAGGGTTTTTTTTTTCCCCCCCGAAAATTTTTTAAAAAAAAATTCCTTTCCTCCCCCGGCCGTCAAAAAATAACCCCCCCCCCTGGTTCATTTTTTGAGACTTTTCGGAAATAACCGACCCATAAAAACCAAACATGCCCCCCGGTAAAGCCAACCAAAAAACCCCAAAATGTTCCCCCGGAGACACCCCAACCCAAAATCCAGTAAACACAAACAACTCTGGTTTTTGAAAAAAAATTTACTTACCTTCCGAACCCATTCAAACCCCATTTTTTAAACCGTCTGTTAACCCCCCCCCCCCTGAAATTTTTGTTTCGAAGACGAAAAAATTACCGTCCCCCCCCCTAATTTTTTGTTTTTTTTTTTGAGTTTTCCACCGTTTCGTTTTTTTCGTGCCGTTCCCCCCTTGACAAAAATTTTTTTTTTTAAAGATGTTTTCCTTATAAAAATTTTTATAAACCCAGTCCCAGTCCTTTTTTTGTTGGGTTGGGTTTGGTGCGTTGTTCCCCCCCCGGGGGTATAAAAAAGTTATACGTATAGGAAGGGGGAAACCCCCCCGTCCCCCCTCCCTTGGGACCCGGGCCCGGGTTTTTTTTTTTTTTTGTTTGTCTAAAAACCCTGAAAAAAAATTTATTTTTACGAAAAAAAAAAAAAACCAAAAAAAAAAAAATGGTTGGAAAACCCCGTTCCACCGG